GTGGGACTGGGCTCTGGCCATCCCATTACCTGCAGGGCAGCCTCCTGGGGGTACTTCCTTAAGGTAGCGGGCTGCTCCTGCCCCCACTTTCTTCCTCCTGGGCCTGAGTGGCTTTGGTCAGAGGGAGAGGGTTCTGGAGGGTGCTCATGTCCCCAGAGACACCAGAAACAACCCAGGAAGCCTCAGTTTCCCCAGTTTCAAGTGAGACTGTGAGACCTTGAGGAAGGAACCCCAAAGAGGCCTAGGAGGCAGAGGAACGGGGGATGGGTCCACAATAGGAAACTGGCTCCCGCCAGGGTGGGCCTAGTGCTGGAATCTGACTGTCCTGCGGGCTTTTTCACCTTGGTGTCACCTCCCCCGAGCCTCTGGAGCACACGTGCAGGGGACAGGGACCCCAGGTCCCCTCAGACACCATGCCTGGGCCTGCCCAGCAACCTCGCGCTACTGGAGGCTGGTGACCCTGCCAGCCGGGCCCCCAGGGACCTGCGCAGCCACAGCCCACCGGGTGCGGGTGATGCCCTGCACAGGATCGAGGGAAAGAAGCTCGGAGGAAGAGAGGAGCCGCAGGGCAGATGCGACCGGGGCACTGGAACCGCGCTGGCCTGGGTTCGAATTCTGCTCGGACGCGCCTTTGCGCACAGGATCAGGTCAGGATCTGTGCCACGGGAAGGGCAGTGCCTGCCCAGCAGGGGCAGACACTGGCCCTCGGGCACCGGGCCTGGCACAGCGCCTGCTTAGCCAGCGACGCCGCTTGCTCGGTCCCAACTGGCTCTGCTGTCTTTAGGGTCCTCCCTGTCTTCCCTCTGTTTTCCTCTTGCGCCCCGGCAGCGCATCCGCCAGCAGGCACCGGTCACAGCCCACTCTGCGCCTTCCCTGCTCTCCGAATGCTCGGAGCTTCACGACTCTCTCGCGTCCCATAAACGGTGGCCTGGTGGCTTTAAAGGGCGGGGACGTCCGGCCCGAGGGGGGGGAGGGGTGCTCTTAAAGCGACAGAGGGGCTAAGGAATGACAGATCAGTGCAGACCCTGGCTGGCACTTGGGGAGGTTAGAGCATGACCCTCAAACTTGTGGATCATGGAAGGAAGAGAAAGACGGGTGTGGGAAATCGCGGATAGCGAGGCTCACTTCATCCTGGAGCAGATGCAAGCTTCAGAGCCACTCTCCCAACCCAGAATCTTCACAAAGGTCACTGAGCTGCATCCCCGCCCCTTTTTATTTTTTATTTTGAGACACTCACTAAGTTACTCAGTCTGGGGTCAAACTTGTGATCCTCCTGCCTCAGCCTCCCAGAGTACTGGGGTGACAGAGGTGAGTGACCACACCGGACAAGAAAGAGAACACTTATTACTGAAGAAGCCTTAAATCCACAGGTGATGAAAGTCTCTCCCTTTCATATAGACAAAGAGATGCAGTCTCTCCTGCATGTTTCCAAGGTAAACAATAATCACTACTCAAGTGAGACAGCCTGACAGCACTCAGAGTTCCTCCAAACTATATAAATGAGGTGGTAGCTGTGTTAGCTTATTGGCTTTATCTACAGGAAAATCAGATTTCTTTCATCTTTACAACAGGAGATAATTTTGCAAGAGGAGGAGACCCGGGCCAAGTCAGCTCCTGATGTTCAGTCAAGTAGGAGGAGCTGAGCTGGCTGGGGCATAGGTCCTGTCCTGCCTAAGCCTCCTCCACCTGTGTGCTTGGCTTGGGCCCTCTGGATACTAAGCCTCTGCTTTTAACTTTTCAGCTTTTTTTCCGGTACCAAGGATTAAACCCAGGGCCTTTGCACTGACCTACATCCCCAGGCCTCTTTTATTCTTTGAGATTTCATGAGTTGTCAAGGTCGGCCTCAAATTTGTGATCCTCCGGCCTCAGCCTCCAGAGTTGCTGGGATTACAGGCCTATACCATTGCACCTGGCTCAATTTTATAACATTTTCATCACCTCAAAAACAAGCCCTTTGCTGGATGTGAGGGGTACATGCCTGTAATCCAACACTTTGGGAGGCTGAGGCAGGGGGACTGCAAATTCAAATCCAGCTTGAAGAACTCAGTGTTTCAACACACAAAAAAGAGCCTGGGCCGGGGATATAGTTCAGCAGCACAAGCGCCTGCCTGGCGCAAGGTCCCGAGTTCAATTCGTGGCACACACACACACACACACACAAAAAGAGCTGGGGATGTAGCTCAGTGGTAAGGTCCTGGGTTTAATTCCTAATACTGAAAATAAAAACAAAAACAACTATGGGCAAGGGTGTAAAGTAACAGAGAATTCTCATATATTGCTAAGAGTATAAATTCATACATTTGTGTTGGGGAGAAGTTTGGTATCATCATAAATATGCATGCTCTAGGACCAACTGTTTTCATTACTGATATAAAGTCCACCAAAAAATGTACACACACTTCAAGAAAAGAAAAATAGTATGGTGTCTTTTCAACAGATGGTGTTATCCTTGTATGGGGGACCCTACAGGATATTTTATAACACAGAAAACCCACTACACTGCTGGCCCTTAGAGAAGAAATTGAAAATGTATGTGCAGCAATCTCAATGACCAAGGTTGCCCAAGCAGCAGCGTGCTGTACTAATAAATGTCTGCAAGCTAAAGGCCACCACTTTGACTACTTCTTGCAATTGTAGAGACCAAAGGTAACTTGTATGAATCTCATGATGCCTCAATAAATTTTGCATTAAAATATTTATACAAGTTTTTCTTTTCCTGAAGTGTGTACACATTTTCTTGGCAGATCCTGTATCGTGGGTGTAGTCTTGCACATGTGCTCAAGGAGAACTATGAGTTTTATTGTAGCATTCCTTGTATTGCATTATACAGTGCATCACAGCACTGTATCAGTATATCTCTCCACACACATACTACACTCACTATTTTTTGTTCTAAACTACTTGGGAATATGTTAAAGACGTCATGACTAAGAAAGTTGCAGAAGGATTAGTATTTATCAAATATTCAAAATATACAGAACAACATTATTATGTTTAGAAGTATCTACATACATAGCAGGAATAGAAAGGAACAGGAATGATAAAAACCAAATTTGGGTAAGTGGGGTGCCTTGGATATAGGGAAGGAAATGTGTTCAAGGATGGGCACCTCACTATCTAGAATGTTTTTCTCAAGCTCTGTGGTTGGTATATATTTGTTATTGGATTTACTTTTTCATATTACTACTTCATAATTTTAAAAAGTATCCGTCTGTCCTTATTAAGAGTTCTAAAAATCTTCAATGGATGTTTGCATTTTATCTAATGCTTCTTGGTATTTATAGAAATATTTGAAAATCTGGTTTTTGTACTTGATACAGTAGATGGGACATACTTAATGTTTATTGAATAAATGAATACTTGTTTTGCTCTCAATTCTTCTATATCTAAGTCCTATTAATTCCAAGATCCTCTCTAAACATTCCATTCTCCTGTGAACTATATTGATTACTACTTTCAAGGGTCCCTAGCCTAGTCTTAGGTACCACCAACAGGGTATAATTTGGGACAAATATCTTCTCATTTTTTCTGCGCAAGTTTGCTTCTCATTTGCCATATGTACTGCACATAAAGTATTTATTCCCCCAATAAGGATGAGCAACGACCTTGTCTTATTAATCATCATACTCTCAGTAAGCACGACGTCAGAGCCTAACATACGATAGGCTCCCTGGAATTGCTTGCTGAATGGCATTACATAACTTATTTGCAGGTATCTGATACAAACGTGCACAGGTGATTTTTAAAATAAGGTTTAAATTTTAGAATGGTTTTATATTGAGTGAGCTATAGCTTGGATATTCAATGTTCCCCAGAGGCCCACGTGTTAGAGGCTTGGTAACCAAGGTGGCATCGTCAGAGGTGGTGGGACCTAGTGGGAGACTTTTATGTCACTGGGGTGTCCTCGAAGGGGATGGCGGGACCCTAGCCAGGGTCTCTACCTCCCTGCCTCTTTCTCTTTCCTGGCTGAGTTGAGCAGTTCGCTCCCCCGGGAGCTTCCACCATCGCCAGGCAGGACGCCCACCACAGGCCTAAAGCAATAGCTCCACGCAATCCTGGACTGGAGCCACCAAAACCTTGAGCCAAAATATATTTGTTTCTTTATCCCAGCTATTTACTAATAGTGACAGAAAGCGGACACACAATTAAAAAAGACAAAAAAAAAAAAAAAAGAAGAAGTTCAGCAAGTGCACATTCCTTAAAACTTATCTGCGGGTGTTGGGGGACTAGAAGATTCTGCTGGCGAAGTCAACCGTCCTTAGTACCAGAACTGGTTCTAAGAAATCCAGAGCAGCAAGATGGTCAAGCAGTATGTATAGCAAACGGAAATGGGGCAAAAGGATGATTGATTACTTTATTTAAATAAACCGGCCGCCGAGGACGGACCACCGGAACCGCTAGGAACACAGAACCAAGTTAGCCTCCTTGCGCAGGCTTCATACTGTTCCGCTGGACCCAGCTCCAGTCAATGGCCTCCTTCACATTTTAACAGAGAGGAAGGAAAAAAGGCACGGAGCCTTCCCCGAGGCCGGCACCAGCGCTTCGCTTCCTCCGTGCACCCCCACGTCCTCGCACCCATCCTGGCCCCTCGGGTTTGGCAGCCGTGAGCTCTGCGCCGGGGCCGCCACCTCCGCACCAGTTTTCTCCCAACGCCTTGCGCATCCCCCCAGCACAACGGGAAGAACCGGCGCCCACCGCCCCCAGCCTCCGCGATCCGGAGGTCGAGGATCCGCGCCGCCCCGGCCGCTCAGAGCAGTGCGGGACAGACCACGCGGCCGCGCCATGGGCTGCCGCCCTGAGCTGCCGGTCCCCCAGGCCCACCTCGTCCTGGGCCCGCGCTCCGACCGCCC